AGAATTTCTTTAATAAAAAAACCATTAAATGTAACAAACCCGTCACTTTTCACTTATGCCAACTATTATATACGCCCACCACTTAAGAATTTTTATGAAACATCCTCCTGTTCTTTATTCTTTTTTACAAGGAAACGCAATTAAACGCGTTTGTTTGGGACCGAATTTTTGAACACGTTCAGTAGTCCCGATAGTACCTAAAAATGCCGTAACGGGTAGGTTAGAATATTGCAGGTACATAGAAATGTATTGTTGAAGTGCTCAGGTCAGGTGCTTTAACCAAAAACTTAAGATATTCACGTTCAATCAGAAAGCGAGGTTTAATTTTTGATAAAAATTCAATAAGATGCACGTTCCGCTTGCTGAAATGTTCGAATTCAGGTAGGGCTCAAAATTTTGATTATATACAGAAATTTTGGATATATATTTCGACGGCTACTTTATCAGAAAATTGAATAAATCTACGATACAATGAGCATATGAGTCACCATGGGCGCTGAGTAAAGAAAACAAAATTCTGTTCCTTTCTATTTTAGGTATAGTTCAGGATGAGAAAAACTTAATTTCTTAATTATCAAAGCCTTTTTATTCCAAATAAAGTTCGTATTCATATTTTTGATAAAAATTCCAATCATCCTATATAAAATTTGATTAGTTTCTATCACTTTTTTCTTAAACATATTTGGGCGACAGTGCTTTCATACTTTCTCTTTGGTTTTGAATTCGCCAATAGGAAAGCAAAGTTCGACATGTATTTACTAGACTCTTATTTTCGTCTAAACTAAGACCAACGCAATTAACATGAAGTTTAATTAAAAATGAATAATGTTCGTTCGTATTTTCTTCTAGTACATTGAAAATAGGTCAACATTATACTATATATATATACATAGCATTACACAGTTCGGAAATAGGATGAAGATAAATTGTCATGAATTGAGAAAAAGTTACGTTAAAATTTCTGAAAACTTGTCTCTGAATTTTCATTTTGTACATTGTTTTTGGAAAAATTCAAAAAAATATTTGAATTATGAAGACAAAAATTTTATATTCATTTTACCTAAATTTTTTTATTTAAATGCATTTTTAAAAAAAAAAATTCCGCTACGTTAGGTAGACTACAAGTAACTTACCTTCCTTGCCCAGTCTCATCAAAACTAAATAGAACAAAATGAGGTCGTTGTTTTCTTTTCTTCATTGTTCTGGTGAAATAGATGTCCTTTTTTATTTAACTATTCAAGATACGAGTTCACGAATACGTCTAACTTGCGAACAGTATGAGGTGGCGAACGTTTTTTTTTGTCAGACATCTTTTTCTCGTCAAATACAAACATATTCTCTTTGAACATAACGTTAAGAAATCTATCAGAGTACCAACGTCTTGATGCATTACAACACGTTGACTACTAAACTGTCATATTTCAGAATGGTTTTTAGCTACGTTACCAGTACACATCTGTTTTGTGATAAAAGCTTTAATGAAAATATGAACTATTTTTTATTTCTCCATCTCTTTTTTTTAGACATGGCTCTCCGACATTTACTGGAAAAATTGCCTCTACCAAGTTTACGTTTATATACGTCTATTAGTTCTATGTTGTTACTTGGAAATCTTATTTATATAAATCAATTGATACAATTCAGTGGCGACCGTGGATCAAATTCTAAGTCTGAATATACCGTTTCTAATACTGCAACTATTGAAACACTATCGTCTCTCAATATATCTAAGACAACAGAAGCTGTCAATCATACATTAAAGAAAATAAATGAATCAATATCAGTTGAATCTTTTGCCACAAGCGATCCATTATCGCTTACCTATATTCAAACGTTATTTTCAATTATAATTGCTGAACCATTATCATTGCTGGTAAGTTGTTTTCAATAAGACATAGCGTAGTTATTATTCATTTCTTTTTTAAATAGATTTTAGTTAATGCGGCTTATTGTGCTTTAACATTAGTAGGTAAAAGTATTCAACTTGTCGTTTTTGGTGCCTTACGTCCAATAGAAGTTCAAGTAAAAATACAAATGTTAATAATCAATATTTTATTATGACTATTTATGATTCTATTTTAGCGTATCAAAGACAAATTTTGGAACTATGCATTTTATAAATTTATTTTTTTATTTGGTGTTTTAAATGTTGAAGATTTGAACGATATCGTTTTATGGTTATCATGGTTTTCATTATTGGGATTTTTAATTGTCTTTGGTCAACTTAGTAAAGATCGTTTTGAAATGGTATGTATTTAAAAATAGTTTTTTCAAGGTGCACATGGGCTATGAGCTTGCTCCTTTCACTGAAATCAGCATTATAACTCAAGAAACTTAGCTTACCAGGGAGCCGCTCGAGATGATACTCTCCGTTTTTCTTCGTTCATACCTCAGTTGATAGAGGGCATCGAGCTGACAAAAAGCCTAAATGGGTTTCTGCGGAGGG